CGTTGGTTGCAAGAAGGATCTTAGACGCGATAGGAAAACTATAGAAGAGCTTCAAAAGACTAACCAGCGTCCTGTTACCCCAGAAGAGGTATGATTGCCGCAATACTAGTTACAAGCCTAACACATCTCCCAGGGAATGGCTATCGGTCAAAAGATTGGAGCTCGTCACTACCTCGAATGCTCTGCACGGACTGGCGAAGGTGTCCGTGAGGTCTTCCAGTACGCCACCCGTGCCGCCCTCCTCTCCCGCAGCAAAGGCAAGGCGAAGAAATGTGTTCTTCTCTAGGACACTAGGTCACATTACACCCAATGTCCCAGAAGTTAGTTTCTTCCAATAATGTCTTTCCCTTCTTTCGATGAGTCATTGGCATTGCGCTGTAGGTGGTCCTCAATCTTTCTAATATGACCAGCCCCCTTATGCCCTCGCTCATTTGATTTCCTTACGATTTTTTGTTTTCTGCTTATGCAATGACAATATCTTTGTCCATGGCATATAATTGACTGGAGGCACGTTATCACATCAATAATCCAAGTAATTATCAGCTTAGGAAATGGTACATTCACAATTGTCACATGTTGCTAAATTATGAGTTGTTCAAGGTCGTAAGTCTACGTAAGGAGGTGGTCGATGTTGCCCGTCTATTTGAGCAGGGGTGTTAAGATAAGGGGGTGGTCGTGCGGATTGGCCACTAATGTCCTCACTGGGGAGTGAGTTTGGAGGCAGTACGATGTCTTCAATGGAAGGCGGTAAATCGGTGGGAGGGATTTGTGCTCCTATAAGATCAGTCTCGGGGCCGCTTGTTTGAAAAGGTGGAGGAGAGGTTCGATATTCCATGTCAATACCTGGGGGTGGATCTGCAGGGTCGTCCATAAAAGGTGGTGCGGGTGCCTCGTCGGCTTCCATCTGTAATGCATGTCCCAAACGATCCATCTCGCTCTCTCGCCTGCCAACGTAGACAGTATCAACTACTGCCGATATGCCTAGTCCACGTCCAATAGCATTCAGAGCCTGCTCAGGTTGATCCACCAGGTCAGCCAAGGCTGTGACATTAGTATCACTCTCGACCGCATCGATAGCTGGAGGAGGCTCTGCGCTACCTCCGAAGGATGCTTCTAGACCATCGAACTGGTCTTCTGGCTTGAAGCCAAATATCTCCCCCTCTCCTTCAATATTTAGAACCCTTTCTCTACTTTCCGGCACATCAGATGACCGAGATGACTGAAAAGTAGACTCTGTGGCATGATAGGCCCGGTACGGCACCTGTGAAGAGCTTGAAGTTGCCAACATCGGAACCACATAATGAGCCTCTGATTCAAGGAAGGTTGGTAATCTCGAGGTCCCTGCCTGTGCAGATTGGGGGTCTGAATGAACAAATGGAGGGGGAGGAGCATCCCGTTCATCAAATGGTGGTGGAGCCCCCGATGCACTTGGTCCCGGAGGCCCAATATCAGCATCTGACTCTCTGTTGGTTTGAGTAGGCGGCTTATCAAATTTTTTATGGTATGCAGTTTCCATAGTCACCTCCTCGGATGCTTGACGATTTTTGACAACAGGTGGAAGTAAGGTGATAGGAACTGAGATTGAGGTACTATCTTGAGGGGGATGCGGTTCTTCTGTACCTGTTCCATGAGCCTGGTGGTGCAAAAATGAGATGGTAACGTCGAGAGAGAAATCGACAGAATGCAGGGTGGTGTGTTGAGTAATCGAGCAATCAGAGGACCCATTAGAATAATTCACGGTGTCCGTGGGAGGAGCAGCTGGGCTGGATGGTAACGACGATGCTTGTAGAAGTAACCGAAGACGTAGAGGCCGCGATGAATGGAATCGTGCAGGAGCGCCAGTACGAGTTAAAACAGTCTTGAAAAAATTGGGTATCTCGTCCTGCACATTGTCATTATCACCTCTCTCGGTGGCTAGCTTTGTATCTTCTAATGGCGTCGAAGAAGATGCTTGTTCGTTCGACGGTCCCGGGTTGGCATAATTGATTGCAGTAGGTGACTTTGTTGAGCCCGATACCGACTCCTTCGAATTGGCTTGTTCGTGGGGTAGCAGCAATTTTGTTGTGCGGACAAGCTCCACTACAACGTTTCGTAGTTTGAACCCCTGTTGGAGAATTTGGGAGGAAGTAGGTATCGGAATAGTTAAATAGACAGGTATGACATCTCCGAGCCGGTATATGATACGGGGAACTTCGATGTCAATGCGCACGGGAGAGGTTATAGAGTACGTGGCAGGTGAAATAGGATTAGATAAAGTCGGCGAGGAATAGCGTCTTATATCGACGTTTAGGGCCGTGACAAGTGCTTCTCGGTTTGTATCTGAGGGAAATAATGTTGCAATAAGCTGATGCGATATTGAAGACCGAGGAGTGCTGAATAAGGACAATTAGACAATCCGGATGCACGCCATTGTTCGGCGCTTACCGTAAAGCTTGTGGCAAGTCATTTGTCAGTGGTATCGAGAAATAAGAGATCGAGGGCGGCCTTGAATTCGAACTAGAAGATGTTCCAGGTGTGGTAGTTGATAGCGAATTAAATAGTTCTATAGCGTGGCTAGCCAATTGCACTTCAGAGAAGGGATCACGCTCTGCAGTCACTAGTGAAATGGTCCTTGGGTACGTATCAGCATCCTTTCCTTTTGATACATATCAGAACCTACAGTCTACTCCAGTGACTGGGCAGAGCGCCTTTTACGTGGACCTCTCCATCCACAGAACTTGTTTGATCTACACCCAAGTACCCATTTTGGAATTCGACTGAATTACTTGAAGGTACGATGAGAACTTGAGTGTCAGGCAGTTGGCTATAGGTGGGTGGTTCATT